TCTTCACCAACGAGTACAAGAAGACGATCGGCGTGGATTTCCTGGAGAAGAAGATGCACCTCAACGCGATCGGCGAGGAGGTGACGTACCTGCTGTGGGACACCGCGGGGCAGGAGGAGTACGACGCGATCACGAGGACCTACTACAAGGGCGCTGGCGCCTGCATTCTCGCGTTCTCCACCACCGACAGGGCCTCGTTCGACGCCGTCGAGGCCTGGTACCACAAGGTCACAGACGAGTGTGGCAACATATGCATAGTGCTCGTCCAGAACAAGGTCGACATGATGGACAGCGCTGTGATGGAGGCGTCGGAGGTGGAGTTCCTGGCGAGGAAGTTGAAGCTGAAGCTGTACCGGATGTGCGTTAAGGACGACCTAAACGTGTCCGAGGTCTTCCAGCACCTGGGCGCGGAGTTCGTGAGGAACGGGGGCGAAGCAGCGTTCGGCGGCGCAGGCATCGCCTCCATCTCGAGGAGCAACAAGCATGCATAAACATACGTTTTCGGAGCTCCGCGCATGTTTCTTGGATCTGGGCTGGAACCTCCTCTCTGGCGCGCGGATCGCGCCAGGGGCGGCGCAGGAGACGCCGCCAGGGGGTCCAGCGCCGATCCAAAAAACCTGCGTGGAGAATCGAAAATTTCTGTTCATGCCGCTTTTGCTCCTCCACCCATCGAAGACTTGGCGTCGAGGCCCATCGCCGAGCGCGGTGCCAAGGCGGCGGGCGCCGGCGCGGGCGCCGAGAAGGCAGAGGGCGCCGCCGCCCAGGAGCAGCAGCCCTTCAAGCTGAGCGCCGGGCCCTCCCGGCAGCGGACCGGCGGGAAGAAGTCGAAGTTCCCCGCGGGCTGTAACATCTTGTGACGCGCAGGCGCTTCAAGCCGGGTGGACGGAGGTGTCCTTCGGACGGGGCCGGGAGCTGACCAAAATCGTTCCAGGAAGCTCTCAGGCCGTGTTCCAGGGCGCTCTGGAACGGCCGCGGCGCCCGACACATCCTCTAGAGCCGCTGGATCTCAGAGATCCCCGACTTGACTTGGTCCGAGGTTGTCCCGGTCCTGGCTTCGTCTCTCAGTGCTTGCCCCGAGGCGTTCTCAGGTTTTCAAGGGAGGCCTCTGCGGCCTCCCCCACGTTGCCTCTCACGAGGCTAGGGGTGCCCCAGGGGCGCGAGGGTGAGCGGGGCAGGTCGGGCACCTCCGGCCAGGGTCACCTCTGTGGACACCCTCCTAAACGAAGGTGAATGATTTCGGCCTCTGGGAGCAGCTCCGCGGAGTCCTTCACATCGCTTATTTTCCTTGTCCACGGGGGAAACTCATGTCCAAAGGCAGATGAGGTCAACTGTTCTCTGACAGTCCGAATGATTCACCATCTGCATTTGCCAAGATCCCCTGTCCGAGGCCTGTTCGGGCCCTCCTCTCCTGGTCCCTCGCCCCCTCCATCCTGCCCTGTGCTGCATGCAGGCTGCCGAGAGACACGTCGGCATTAATTAGCGCTGAAATCCCAACCCTTCCTTTGGCTTAGCCTTAAGTCGGGCCTGTCCCTCTACAGGGGCGATTTTCAAAAATAGTCGAAAAATAGTCTGGGGACTATTTTTGACCATTTTCGAGCATTTGTTGCTTATGTTTTGGATCGGCATGTAGGAGGACAGGCCCGACTTAAGCTTAGCCTCGGTGACTGGCGAGATGAGCCCTCCTCTCTCTGCGAACAGCGGCGCCGGTCTGCGGTCACCGTCGCTGCGCCCGTTCGCTCCGCGGCTGCTCCGAGGCCACGTTGGCGGCGTCTGCAGCACGTCGAGCTGCGCAGCAATCTTTGACGACGGGCGAACAGGGCTGCTCCTACAGAGGAGCATGGCACTGAAACTTGCCTTGCAGCTCACGTGCGTGACCTGTTAGTCTCACTCCTCGGCCCCTTTCTGCTGTCCCGCCTCCCCCCTCTCCGCACCCACCTCTGTGGCTCTCGCGCCTGTTGTCCCCTCTCTTCCACGTTGAGTGCGCCCCAGTCGCGGCTGGCTGGGCAAGAGTTCCCACTGGTGGGGCGCCGCACTGCTGTTCTCGTCTCTCTGATCTCCTTGAAGGCGGCACTTCTCGTTTTGCGACCAATGCTAAAAAACTCACACGCGTCATCTCCCGGCAGCTGCACGGACAAGGGGTGGCGGGGGAGTCATGCACGCATGGTCGCCAGCGGTTTCCGTTCCAGGCGCCGTTGGCAGGCGCTCCTGGCCAAAGCTCCACGTCATGTCGCGATTGTGCACGTGTTCAGCGGATAGACAGGTGCGCGGTCTGGCGTCTTCGGGGAATTTGCCAGAACCCAGCCACGACAGCACTTTTGAAGTCTTGACGGCTCCCCCATGCTCTGTTCACGGTCACGTCTGAAGGTGCCCCCTCTCCTTGTCACGCTTGGAGGTGTCCCCTTTCTTTCTTCGCTGTCCTTTTCCACTCCGTTGTTGCCCCGATGTGGCCACGTCTGGCATTCCGTGACCTTCAATGTTTCAAACGTATAGCATAAGTGTTGATGTTTGGTCATGTTCTGTTTACGTGCCTTGGGTCCTGGCATTATGCCTTGTCTATTATGCATGGTCGTGCTAATATTCGGGATGGCAAGTAGCGTCAAACCGAAGAGCGGCAGAGCAGTTTTATGTTACCCTCATGGCCTTTGACATCTACATAAGTTGCGCGAGGGAGCAGACCATTCGCAAAGTGCCCGAGTGCGTAAAAGGGACCCGCAAGCGGCCTCCGTGTTGGGAGCAGGACTCTGTCTGAATGGTTTCTTCTATCGGTTTACTCATCGCTCGTGCGCCACCCGATCATGAAGAGGTTCGATCCTTTTTCTGGGCGATCTCTTCGAGTAGATGTAGTCTGCGGAGCCTGCCGTACACGCCGCATCCGCAGGCGCCACGAGGCGAGAGCCCCGCAGAGGACCAGGAAGCCAGTGCCCTGTTCGGCAGGCAGTTGATGTCCACGATTCCGCACCGCACGGGTGATTCCACGCCGAGGAACTCTTGCAATTAGAGGCATGGGAAAACCGTCAGGCCCACGTATGCCATGGTTCCGACGGGGAGCGGAGGAGCGTGAACATCGTTCGTCTGCTCGAGTGCTTGCTTGCCCGCTCACCTGCTTGCCTGCCTGTTTGTCTGTATGCTTTTCCCCAGACGGCTTGTATATAAGGTTCTGACACTACTTTCTAAGAGCTACAGCCTCGGAAAGGTTTTCTCCTAACGCCGCGACACGCGCCCATGCCGATCTACAGCGTGCTGGGAATACCCACACCAATGCCGCCCGCCATTTTGAAGCGCAGTCGCGTTACATGTGGACTACACTGGGTATTGATGACACCGTACCATTACTTTGGTGTGTACAAGCCCACCACGACGTGTGTGAATTCACAACTTAGTGTTGAAGTACAAGCGAAATCCCACTTTGTGTTGCTATTTTGTGTTGCGACTGCATGGAGATCAGAATTGATGCTACCGAACGAGGGGAAAGGCAAGCAAATACTGACGACGTTTCAAGCGAAATTGCACCCAAACCATGCCGAGACAGGGCCACAGCAGGCAACTTGTGAGGACGTCATCAGCGAAACAGGGCCCAAACTAGGCCAAACCAGGGCGAAACTGAGCAAATATTGATGACATCTCGAGCACAACTGGGGTCAAAACAGGCCAAACCAGGTCCAAGCCAGGCAACTATTGAGGACGTACCAGGCGAAATTAGACCCAAACCAGGCCCAATCAGGGGCCAAACTAGGCAAATTCTGAGATTGTCTCAGGCGGGCCACGATCCAATCTTGTTTCCCTGGGGCCCAGAGACAGGCCCTGGAGGCATGAGGGAAGAACGCTGCGACTGGCAAATATAATAGAAGGGTGCCTGGGCACTCCCAGGGCCAGGATCCCTCCCCTCCCCCTTCGCCCATGGGAATTGATTAGCTTATCTGGTGTGCTAAGATTTCACGGTGCACTGTTTCGGTGGTATCCCCCCCTCCAGAATTCATTAGGGTTTGGGTGCTAGCGATAACATTGGGGGGATCGGTAATTGCTGCCCAAGGTTAGTCGGAGATCTGAGTCCCTGATGGTTTTCGGGCCATAACTCGGGCTTCCACCGGTCCGTCGGGACGATCCTGGCACTCCCGGAACGCTCTCGACAAGGCGCGGCCATTCAGAAGCACCCCGAGGCTCGAAACTTTACGAGAACCGACGAAAACGTGCGAAATGTTGGACTCCGGGTTTGGAGGTTTTGGCCCACGTGCAGTAAGCGCATCAAATGCGAAGCCAGTTTGCCAGCAGTTGCCCCACGAAAGCTTCTAATCCCACGATGGTTCTGGGGACCCGCAGGAGCACGATGGGACCTCAGGATCTTCAAAGATCGACGAAGCATGTGCCCAGCAAACTCTAATAGCAGGACTTCTTCCCGCACGTGTCTACTGCAGCTCCCATCGGCACGCGCGCGGCACTCTGCCATGTCCCTGGGCCTGCGAGCACGAGGCTCCAGACCAGGGCTCGAGCTAAACGGTGTATTTGGCAATTTCGTGGACCGTTTTCGTTCTGACTTCCTTTTGCAGCACATGTGGAGCGAAGACAGAACTGGGGATGACGACAACAGAACGAAAGCGGAAAACACTGTTTCATTCGAGCCCTGCTCCGGACCCCTTCCCCACGGACTTCTTCACCCCCGCAGCCCTGGCTGCCCCTCCGCCCCCCCCCCCCGCCCAGACCCTGGGCCGCAGCACACTGCCCGTCCTGCTCGGGGTGCGCCCTCCGCCTCCCCGCCCTCCGCGGCCGCCCTCACCTCTCCCCTCCGCCGCGCCGGCGCCCAAAGTCTGCCCTCGCACAGCCCGCCCTGGCTTGGCATCGCTCGGACGTGTGCATTTTTTCTCTCGGCGAGAGCCATCGAGGACCATCCTGGACCATCGAGCAAAAAAAGCACGCACGAAACCCCAAAAATACACGGGAAATGGACGTCCGAGCGACGGCAAGCTGGCCTGCCCGGCTCGTGCGCTCGCCGAGCCCACCACCAGGCAAGAGCAGCTGCATCCCCGAGGACTTCCGGGCCGTAGCTCAGCCCGCCGGCGGCCGTTGGCGGCGACCCGGGCAAGCCCCCGAGCGCTCCCGGCAGGGCGCGCGGGTTCCAAGTGCCAGGCGGTTCTCCTCCCCCCCTCCTCCATTCTTTCGCCCTACAGGTGATTTCTCCCTGTCGCTCCCTGAGACTTCCTCACCACGTATGACCCTGAAGCGTAAAATGTGGAAACAGCTTCGCAGATGGAGAGCGGGTCGTTTTCAATATGTGGTTCTCGCCTTAGCGCCGCGCACATTAGTTTTTAAACACTGCAGGAGTTCCACGAAGTGACCGCGGGCCGTTTTCAACATGTGGTTATTGCCTTAGCCTTAGCGCCGCGTACATTCGTTTAAATACAAGTGCAAGAATTTCACGGATTGAGGGCGGCTCCCTTTCAAAATGTTGTTCTCGCTTTAGCGCCCGCGCACATTGGGTTTCAAAGTTTGGAAGAGTTTCGCAAATTCCCATAATCAGCGTACCAGATATGTTGTTTTGGAGGGATTCAGGATTATGAGGGCGCAACAGTTACGGTGATTCGTGGTGTTGAAGTCCCAGGAGTGGGGTTCTGGTGCGTTTCAGGATCGTCAAGACGCAACAGTCAGATTGATCCGTGGCGTTGGAATCTCGAGAACAATATTTTGGCATGCTTCAGGGTCTTCAGACGGTTGTCTTCCAACGAGGCAGTTTCCTCAGTGGAAATGAACCGTTGTAGGGGCATACGAAGAGGGAGCTTAGAGGGAGGGTTTTCTTCAACATCGTTGGTGACTCTTGGGCTTACACTGGTCCTCTTCCTCCTCCTCCCCCTCCTCCTCCTCCGTCTCCCCCTCCTCCTCCTACTCCTCCTTCTCCTTCTCCTCCTCCTCCTCCTCCTCCTCCTCCTCCTCCTCCTCCGTCTCCTCCTCCTCCTCCGCCTCCTCCTCCGTCTCCTCCTCCTTCTCCTCCTCCTCCTCCTCCTCCTGATGGCCTGGTGGACGCGCTGGACTGGATCGGTTCTGGGCAGGCCCTCTTCGACAGCGCCTCGGTGACCCTGCAGGCCTTCCTCCCGAGAGCTGCGTCCGATGTGGAGCTCGCTTGTGGTGAGTGCCATCGGTCTGCCGACAAGGTCCGCGTGCTCGGCTTGCGCAACACTGACATTACAGTCAACCATGATAGTAAGGATGGGCAACCTTCCCAAGGGTACCCTTGCATCCTTGCCTGCTCGGTCCATCCTTCGCCGCTTTCGCTGGCCGCGCCCCGCTCGAAAAGCTTCGAAATGAGCGTCCAAGGCCCTTGCATTCTTATCGCGCATCCTTACTAGACTGGTTGACAGTAGGGCCCTCTCATCGGTGATGAATCGCACGATCGTGCCCATCCTCCGTTCATTTGCTCCACCGTGTCAGCGGGGATGTGTGCCCTCACGTAACTTCGGCCTCCACACTCTGGAGTTGGATGCGTGTGCCCGACAGCTGTCGCTGACGCCGCCGCCCTCGCGGGACATTCCCCTCCTGTGCTCCTTGGACTTCGGCCAGGCCTCCCCGCCCTTGAAGCAGGAGTATGTTGAGCTTGTCTTGGCGGTGCGCGGGGCACCTCCGGAGCTCCGGAGTTCCAGCTCGTTGCTGGCTGTCTCCACACAGCCATTGAGGGGGTCGTTTCGTCTGGTGGTGAGTTCATTCGTCTACACCTTAGGCGATGCTTAAGAAAACTTAAGTTTTCGGCCAGAGTCTCGATTATTCTTAACGTTTCAATGTAAATAAATCTTGAGATGTTAGTAGAAACGTTGGGTTTTTTATTCAAGTTCTGAGACTATGAATTTCTTAACCCATGATTTCTTAAGCATTTCGCAGGGTGCATTCTGGGTCCGCAGCGGCATCGTCCAGGCGTGCGGCCTCTCGGGCTCCCCGTACGCCGTCGCGTCTGCTGGTTCCTTGTGGGATCTCTCGGGCTGCACTGAGAGGGCCCAGCGCGGCCCCCTCAGAGCGTGCGCCGACGACATCGGTGGCGCCGTCGTGAGCATCGCCGACCTCATGCGCACCGCTGATTCCCTCGCCAACCTCGTCCTCAAGACGTCCGAGTGTACGGTGGTCCCCCCCTCTGGTCCCCACAGTACCTCGTTGGCTTCACGCACGTCTGAACAGATAGCACAGTTGGTTCCCGATCGGGGCTCCTTCGGGGTTGTGGCTGAGCTCCTATACCTGGGCATGTGGATGGGACCTGGGGCCTCGCCTACGCGGTGCTGGGTTGATCCTGTCGCGAAGATTCGCCTTCGGGCTTAAGCTATTGGCAGCGGCGCGGCACCCCCAAGCGTCTCTGCTCGTCTGTACTGCACACGTGTGGTTACCACGCTATCATACGTCGCGCAGTTCAAACAGCTGCCTTCTGCCGTGGGCCGTTTGGAGCTCCCCGTCCTCGCCCAAGCATGTCGCATTGCACTCGGTGCTTTTTCGCTGGCGACCTGGTCCCAGCTGGAGCTCTGGGGTGGCCCCCGAGTAGTGAGATGGGACTTACTCAGTGCTGCGACTCTGGCTAGACCGGCGATGGCTGCCTTTCCTGGGCATCAGGCTATCCTCGACATGCTCCGCAATTCCGTTGACACCACCTGAGTGGCACACTCTCGAGATGCTTGCGACGCGTGCTCTTTATCCTGGGTTCTGGCAGTCCGAGTCATTTGTTGCAACGCTTTCTCGTGCTGCCTCATCGTCTGGTGGCCAGTTGGGGCGATTCGCGGTGCATGCCATTAGTGACGAGCTCGAGGCCGCCCATTTTCGACACCCTCGTCCTCAGCGTGCTACTCGCCGCGCTCTTCTTCTTCTTCTTCTTCTTCTTATTATTATTATTCTTCTTCTTATTCTTATTATTATTCTTCTTCTTCTTATTATTATTATTCTTCTTATTATTATTATTAGTATTATGTTTATTATTATTCTTATTATTCTTATCCTTCTTATTATTATTAGTATTATCATTATTATTATTGTTATTATTATTATTATTAGTATTATTAGTATTATTATTATTGTTATTATTATTATTAGTATTATTATTATTCGTCTTATTATTCTTAGCATTCTTAGTATTATTGATATTATTATTATTCTTCTTATTCTTCAGGTTCGGCAAGCGTCCCCTCTTCAGCAGATCCTGGTCATGAGGCTGTCGAAGCTCCTCCCGCACCGCTCCTCGGCCACTGCGCCGATCGACTGGCAGGAGGTTGGGTCCATTCTGGCGCGCTGCCCCTGCTCATGGGCCTGGGCGTCTCTTCGTACCTGGGCTGACGGATGGATGACACCGTCACGGATTGCGTACACGGATGGTCTGAGATGTTGCGCTTTCGGATGCGGCGACGGCCTCGACTCTCTCTGCCATTAGGGCTGCCGCCGTCCACTACATCGTGCTCTTCGTGCCGCACTCGCTCGTCCCTTTCCTCTTCCTGTACTTGCTAGGTGGGGTCTTGCTCCGCATTCCGTGGCGTCCTTCAGCTTCCTCGCAGTCTCGCGTGCGGCTTACAATTCTGCTAAGCTCATCGATGGTTGGCCGTTCAGCTCTATTCAATGGTTCTCGGGTGCTCTTGCAGGTGTCTCTTCTATGCACCTTGCTCGGCCCGCCCGACTCAATGATGGTGAGATGGTGAGCGTCTGGCCCTTCGCCCGAGACCCGTCTCGCGCTCCAGCTCTTCTGGGTCCTCGTCTTCGGAGGCACCTTCGCCGGGGCTCACCCCTCCCGTCTCGAGTTCCGAACGGCTGTGACAGGGGCAGTGGGGAAGAGTCAGTCTCTGATGATGGTTCCGCACCCGCGAATGGTGTCCAGATGGGGCCTCAATCTCGTCTCTCTTCCCCTCGCCGGTCTCGGCAACAGCTTCCTCCACCTCGCCGACCTTGGTGGCCTCATCTCCTCCGTCATCGCCCCGCGGTGAGCCCGAGCCTCTTGACCTTGCGCCCTCGGCCCTCTCGCCTGATCTGTCACCGCCCAGCGTCGTCGCTCTGACTCCTCCTCTTCTTTGTCCGTCCCTCCCGATGGCTTCTGCTGTTGCTGCTGCTGCTGCTGTTCCCCACCCGCTCCCCCCCCACACCGTTGCTGCCAGCTCCTTGCCTTTTGGCCCCCGCTCGCCTGCGTCCTTCCACTCTTGTCCTTCGCTCCTGAGCGCTGCCGGTGCTGGTGTTTGCTCCTCGTTTGCTCCTCCCTCCGTGCATCCTTTGAGGGTTTCGGAGAGTTCAGACAAGAAAACGCGTCTCGATTGGTACCGTCGTTTTCGAGAAGTTCAGGACGCAACTCTAGATTCTTACCTTGTGGCGTTCTCGCCGCCGCACCCTCGGCCCTCTGGCCGTGGTGCCCGCCCCTTCATGATCGACGCGGTCGCCATCTCAGGCGCGCCGCTTGCTCCGCCGCCACCTGCTGCGGCTGCCCCTAGCCGCCGTTAGGCCGGGACCCGCGCCCCCTTCCTACGGTCGTCTCTTCCTCCTCCTCCTCCTCCTCCACCTCCTCCTCCACCTCCTCCTCCTCCTCCTCCTCCTCCTCCTCCTCTTCCTCCCCCTCCTCCTCCTCCTCCTCCATTTTTTTGGGGGGCTCAAGCACTGTTGGCATCAGCAGCGCCTGCCGCACTCCGCGCGCGGACGGATCGTCGGTTTATTTCGCTTCATGTCTAAACGCGGAGCTGAAGGCTCTCCTGCTATGTCTTCTGATGGTATGTCCGATGACGAGGATAGGCGACGTACAGACAGGTCACCTTCGCGAGAGATCACGAATGCCGACCTGTTCAAGTACATGAAGGGGATGGACAGGAATGTGAACACAAAACTCAAGAAGGTGCAAAATGATTTGAAGGCTGTGGATAAGAAGGCGGACACGGCTGTTGAGGCGGCTCAAAGTGCTCAGAAGATGGCTGCAGACGCTCTTCGTGTCGCTCAGGAAGCTCAAGCGGGTTCGAGGCCTGGGAGTGCGGCATCTACCATTGCTGGGCCATCACGTTCTGGTCCGCCCATGGGCGATGACGCTCTGAAGGTCGTGATCGGAGGCTTCCCTGAGGCTTCAGACAAAGATGAGATGTTGCCCTACCTGGACAAGATCTGCTCGATGGCGGACCCAACTTCTATCACTCGTAAGTGGTGCGCTTCTCCTGGGAATCATGCAGCAGTGTATTGTCGTGATG